TGTACGTGAGTGACAAACTAAACAAATAAAATAAAACCCTCCAAACTCGATTGCAGAAAATAGGACTTCAGCAACAGAGTGGTCAACGCCTGGAATGCTCTACCTGACTCCAGTGGTGGGTTGCAGGTGGTACGCCCCGGTACGGGCGTACCAGAGTCTGCCCGGAGCTCCAGGTACCATTCCAGTACAGTGCTCTGGAGGGCCCACCGGCCCACCCGCGCTCCTTACCTGTCTTTAAACTGTTTGGGGCTTCCGCACACGTGCACGGTGCATACAGCGCCTGCGCAACGCTCCGTCGAGCAGCTGGAGCATTGCAGAGACTCACAGAGGCATCGCTGGATGGTAAGATGCATGCGCGCACCGCACACATGTGCGTGCACACACATGTGGAGGACGCCGGGCCCCATTGCAACCATACAGGTTGCAACAGGATCTGGAACCCATCACTGCCTGACTCCATTGTCACATTCTCACACCCCTCTCCCAGCTTCAACCTTAAACTGTCTACCGCGGACCTCAGGTTCATAAAGGGGGCGTGCATGTCCCTGTCCTAACAACCCCAATTAGTTGTATTCATTTCTTTCGTTCATATCCATGTTTATAGTTCTACCTGCTATCTTGTACATGTTGGACAAACTAATACATACAAATACAAAATGTGCAAGGGACTTGTAATCAACAGAAGACCACGAAGGACAGAACGTATTTCCCGGTTTCCCTTCCTTCACCACCTGCGTGCAGGCTTTTTAGGAGGCTGCTATCCGGGAAAATATCGAGGCAGGTGGTGGCTGGGTGACCCCTATAGGACAGGCAGGGAGACAAGGCTTCCGAGGCAACGGCGCCGATCCAGCTTACCTGCCGTTTCCCAGATGCTATCAGGGGAAGCTCCGCAAATACGTCACATATATACACACACCCCTAGAAACGACCCCCGCGTTCCTATAGCACGAGTGGCACTCAATCCACCCCTCCCACCGGCGGGCTCTTACGTCACGACTACTTCCGTACAGCAATCCATCGGCCGGTTCGCGAAGAAGGCTCTAATGCCCTGGACGTCACGAGGAAACCGGAAGCGGAAATGTGGATTTTCACGGAGGTTCGGCTGTGGAACCTTGTTGTTGTTGTGGTGTTGGTAGGGAGGCTCGAGCTTCTCCCGGCTGGCTGACGGTTTTTTTTTACCCTCCCCTCGCCGGTTTCGGTTGGGTGTTTTAGGCCTTCGCCATGGTGTGCGAGAAATGTAAGTAGAAGGGACGGGTGAGGGTGGGAGAACGCGCGGTGAGAAGTGAGAAGGCTCCTTTAACAACTGAAATGCAGAGGTTTGGGGGGGGGGGATGGGATGGGGGGGGCTCTTCCTGAGAGAGTAACGTTCTTCTATTTTTGGTCCCGGGATTGTCGTCCAAGGAACGGTTTCTCTCCCCTCTCCCGCGGTAGGAAAGTCTAGTTGTATGTCTGAAGAAGTCGGGACCTAGTGTGTTCAGATCAGCTGTTGTTCAGTATCTAAGTCAGAGGTCTTCAAACTTGGCAATTTTAAGACTTGGGGACATCAACTCCCAGAATTCCCCAGCCAGCATAGCCAGGAGTTGATGTCCCCAAGTCTTAAAGTTGCCAAATTTGGGGACCTCTGCTTTAAGTTGTATCTGATTCTTCGCGATCCTATGGACCATAGCAACACACACAGAGGGAGGGAGCGAGACTCCTCCACTGTCTCCCGGGGTTCAGGTTCATGGCGTCGATGACACTTACCTAACGCCGAGACTCAGATCAGTGCCACAAGCAAAATCGGAGGGCTGCCTCCTCTAAAAGCCAAGGGTTTATTTCTTTGTGTGATAAAGGTGTAAAACAGAAATTTGGGGACTGCTGCTTTAGGATGCTGTCCTGAGTGCACTTAATGGAATTTGGGTCTGTGAGTACACGGGCCTCAGATCATTGTGTTTGGAGGTATTGAATTGGATGTACAGTACTGTAAAATTTTCAGTAAATCCTAGCAATGATGGCTGTTTGCTCTGAAAATCATGGTAAGAAAATGCCTAGAATGTATTGATCAGGTACAACAGTAGGAGAGGTTTGTTATGCTATAGTTTTTTGTCAGATTGTATGGTGGTGTGTAGGGTTTACAGTTTTACCATCCTTACAACTTGATTGCACAAAGGTTATGGTAACTAAATAATTATACTGTAGTGACTATCAGATTGTTTTCTCAATTTTTTAATATTAATATTATTAATATAGTAAGATCTGCATAAAAAGATCTAGATCCCAAACTGTTGTTGTTTGCATATACACTAGATAAGCCACAACCTGTTGAGTCATCTTTTCAGAAATATTGCCTTTCTAGAATCCTCAGTGCCTTCCAACAATGACAGAGCTTCTAATGTACTACCTTCACAGGAAAAATACTTACAAATTCAGAGAGATATTCAGAGATGTAGTTGCCTTGAAAATAGCCTATGTCGAATTATATAACACATCCAAGCATTAGAAGTTGACCCCATAAAAAATGTTTTATGAAATTTGCCAAATTTCAATTCCATGAGAGTCATGGGTTCCAGATTTTGGATCCATTTTGTAAGTTACTGTAGCTGGTTTGTGGTATCTTGCTTCAAAAATGATATCCTTTGATGCAAACATGAAAGTTTTAGTAGTAAATAGATAATTACTGTTAATTTGATATAATTCAGTAGTACACATATCACTTGCACACTTTCGATAAAGCAAAGTACTGAAGATAAAATTAGCATAATCACATGAATGTTAATTTAGAAAGCAGTAATAATTTCAGTGATTATAAGATTACAGCCTTACGTGGATTTCTCTGTAAAAGGTGCTACACTGACAACATAGCTAAGTATGAAACCAGAAACAAGGTTACTTTTTAAAAAATGTTTACTTTGCAAAATTATCAACTGGTAAATTGTCCAAAATCTAGGACTGGCCTTCTGTATTATGATAGAGGTTTCATTTATGAGAGCAATCCGCATCTTTCCTAGACTTGTGGAGTTTATCTGCTATCTCAATCAATTTGCTATATACCGGTATGCGTCAAAATCTGCAAACTACTATTTGTTTGCATTTACATTTGTTATTTTTATATTTATGTCCTGCTTTCACTTAATCATACTTTCTTGTAGTTACAACATGTGCCAGACAGCTGTTTATAGTTATTGACAAGTAATCCTTACTGTGTTTAGAAGGATCAATACCTCACAATTTTAAAAAAATGTATTGGCATTAAAACTCACTAAATCCCAAAGGGCAATTTCTAGAGTCAGGGGATATATTTTATAGATTCCATGTATCTTCAATGGTTTCCAATTTTCCTAGAGTCATAGTTATAAGCTACATGGAATGCGGCACTTCATATTATTAATATTTTTTATTATTATCTATTCTTTGAAATGATATGACCTGAACATACTGTGCTATTGTAATCTATTATATTATCATAATTTTTATTCTGTCTTTTCAATGCTATTCCATAGGTGAAAGAAAACTTGGTACAGTAATTACACCTGATACCTGGAAAGATGGTGCAAGAAACACAACAGGTATTCTTAGATATCACAAAAACTGCTATTTATTTTTGATTATTTCTCATTTCTTGATCAAGAAAATATGTAGGAAATGCCAATAGAAAAAACCCCTGCAGATTTTCATGCCAAGCTGTATGTTCCTTAATGTCTATAATCATACACCTCAATAATCACATTTCTCTTACCTTTGTTCATAAAACTAAAATTCTGAAATAACTTGATAGTCCAATTATTATTAAGCAGTAAGCAATCTAAACCTGGAACTGCCATGTGTAATAAATAAGTTGGTTTTCTTTCTAGCATATGAATATTACGGTCACTTTTGTAAATCAATCTTCCTTGAAAATAAGTACTGATGCTAAAAACCTTTACAACTTGACAATTGCAACATGACCAAACTTTATATAGTTTAAAAGACTCAGCATTTCTAATTGGATCATTGATTTAAGTGATTGTACAAAGACTTAAGTATTGATAGCAATATTACATATCCTATTATGCAGACATTCTTAATCATATTGGATTAGGGAAACCTGTTGAATATCTATCCAACAGATACACAATATCCTAATTTTATTAAGTATTTTCCTCTTTTGAAGAAGTTTTTAAAGGAATGTAATTCCTGCTGCAGTTCTGTTTTGATCTTTAGCAATGTATATTTTCTGTTTTGGCTGTTCAGATTGCTAAAGAGAATGGGATCTACTGAGATTAGCAGAGAAAAATCAATCACATAAATTATTAAATTGTGGAGGGAAGACAAATGCAAAATGTTTCCAGTGATATGTCACACAGTGGAATCAAAACCAAATTCCTTCAGTTCATATATATTCTTAAAGCTTAGGAGAGAAGATTTGTGGACTAATGTGGATGCAGAAGAAAGGCAAAATCCCATTATATGTGTAGAAGTCTACTTAACTATTGTTAGATGGGTCTCCCAAGTAGTTAAGAGGGTAGTAAAAAATGAAAGGGACATTATAAAGATGTGGTTGGGAAAAAAATCAGTATTCTCAGAATGTCTTGTTAAATTGCTCATTTTCATGTTTATTGCTGTGTATTCTGGGCATTCATTTTTCTTTTTAATGGTTTCAATTTTAAGTTGAAATTGTTTCAAAATTATATCTTTTTATTTATAGAAAGTGGTGGGAGAAAATTAAATGAAAACAAGGCATTGACATCAAAAAAAGCAAGGTAATTAAAATCTTAATTCACTTATCAAATGAGTCAAATGCTGGAAAATTGTTAACTTGCTTATTCATTCTTCTGAATTTTAGCCTCTTTCGTATTTCCATATATAGTCATGCCTACTTTCTCCAGCCTAGAGTTGGCATAGAAGTTTTTTTTTCCCCACTGCACTGTACTTTTAGCAACTGTAACTCTTTACCAATATCACTGCATCCTGAAGAGCAATGGCTAAAACTGTGTTTTTCAAACTTGGCAACTTTCAGATGTGTGGACTTCAACTCTCAGAATTTCCTGAAGCCATCTTACAATTGCCAAACTTAAAAACAGTGGGGTAGATCATGGTAATTTTGTAAGGCACTGGACAAGTAAATAAAAGACTGGGAAATTATCATGCACATGTCATATGGTCTGATTTACCCTAGGTAGAAGAGAAAAGGTATAAGGAAAAATATATATATATATATATGTTATATTTGTGCTGATAAATAAATAAAGGGAGACTAGTATAGATCTATTTCAAGCTATTTAGCTCTCATCAGCTAGCCATACCCTTACTGAGAATCGAGCCTGTGCTGTATTGCCTCTTATCTTATTGCTTGATTCTCAGTAAGGGTATGGCTAGCTGATGAGAGCTAAATAGCTTGAAATAGATCTATACTAGTCTCCCTTTATTTATTTATCAGCACAAATATAACAAATGTAACAAAAAGGCAACAGTAAAAAAATATTGGGTTTCTGTCTGGATGGTCTCTTGTGACGAGCCGAATGACAGAGAATGGAAGTAGTGACCTTCCTCCCATATTTGGGCATACCAGGGATTGTGACTTTAAATAAATATATACATACATACATACATACATACATACATACATACATACATATATGATTTTTTTATCAGCACAAATACAACAATATATATAGTAGTCATAGTCATCGTTCAAAATGGCAAATTACATTTTGATCATTTCATGCAACTGCAACACATAAACATTCTTGGATCGTTTATTAGCTTTCTTGGGGGATTGTGTCCACCTTTCTCTGCCCCCATTTACTGCAAATATATGAAAGTAAACAAAAATTATTTTGATAAACTGTAAATTCACTTGTTTTTATCTTCTTAGATTTGATCCTTACGGCAAAAACAAATTTGCAATATGCCGGATTTGTAAAAGTTCAGTTCATCAGCCAGGCTCTCATTACTGCCAGGGATGTGCATACAAAAAAGGTAAGATATTTGCCGTAATCCTAGTTTCTTCCCTGTGTATTTGGTTACTGAGAAATAAGTTATACTGGATGATCAAAAGTAATTTCAGTATTGCTGTGCTTTTTATTCACAGGCATCTGTGCAATGTGTGGAAAGAAAGTCTTGGATACAAAAAACTACAAGCAAACATCAGTTTAATTATGGTGATTTTTTTAATTGACCCACTTTGAACTTCAAAGCAATTGCTAAACATGATCATTACTGATAATACGATGAAAGACTTCTAGAGTACTTGCATGGGATAATTGTGCTATCTTAGATCTAAGTTTTAATCTGCATTAATGGCTATGTTTATTTGGAGTAAGAAATATTTGTTCACCATAATTATTTTAGAAAAACTTAAAAGTGTAACAAATAGTTTAGCTTTCCCAACAACTGAATGTAAGCTACTCTTACATTCAAGAATAAGGATTGCTGAACATACCAGCAAAATCACAATAAAATTGGCATATGATGATTTATAGGATAATTGAATATTTAAATATAATACTGTGTAATTTTGGCAATCCAACTACAGCAATAGGCAGTTCTTCAATTTATTTGTGTTACATGGAATTGCTTGCAGCAAAGGCTTTCAAAGCATCTGGCAAATAACAGTACATGAGCATTGAATGTCATTCTGTTGAACTGGTTGCACATAAATACTGTACCTCGGTTAATAACTTTTTACTTAAATGGATGTCATTTTTAATGTTAAACTTGTGGCTTAAATTTAAAATGGCATTAATATTTTTAAAATAAATATTTAACTTGATTGTGTACAGAACTATTGTTAAAGAGAAAGAATGCAGAATTCCTAATTTGTTGTGCTCATATTTTGGATTTTATTTTGTTAGAGTCTCTTATATGCATTTCTACAATATTTGATGGTTAATATGTTGTTTGTGCATTTTTATCTGTGATGCAAAAAAATCAACAGTTTTTAATTGGAAAGACTACATGACTGAACTGGATACAGTTGTATCGGTTTGATTCTGCCAAATTGTAGGTGTAATGCCAGTATTTTAAAGAAATGATTAAAAAGGGGCAATCAACATAATTCCAATCATGTTTAATTAATAACTTTTATGACGTTGAAAAATTTATTGTGATAGTATTCAGTTTGATTGTTTTGAGGCTCTATCCTAGCCCATATCATTGGCTTTTAATTTTCATAAACACCAATGGCTCTGAGGCCAACAAAATGCTACTTTGAGTTGAGTATCTTAAAAATGGATAAGCCATATGAATACTGTATTTAACTTTGATCCCAATAACTGAATGATGGGATACAATTGTTGATTAATCGTAATGTGGTGATAAAATATACCCCTCCACACACCCACATGAGCTGCATTCAATACCAAACCTATGGGATTCCCTCATCCCCAATCAATACATTGTAAGAAAATATTTACAGCAAGCAGAATTGACTCTGAATAGCAATAGGGGGAAGAATCAGACAGTAAACCAAATTGTTTATTTTTACAGACCATATTTCAAAAATAGTATAACCAGCATACCAACTTAGTAAGAAGTGATAAATGTTACAAAGATGGGTTCATCAAAAACATTCCAGCATCATTTTATTTATTTATTTGTATCCTGCCTTTATTATTTATTTTAGAAATAACTCAAGGTGGGGAACATATCCAACACACCTCCCTTCTCCTATTTTCCCTACAGCAGCCACTCCATGAGGTTTGTTGGCTGAGAAAAAAATGCCTGGCCCAAAGTCACCTATCCAATTTCTCCTGTGCCTTTTTCAGTTTTTCTTGTCTTTGAAATGTAAGAAGCCAAAAGCATATAGGCCAGTGATGGTGAACCTTTTAGGCACGAGTGCCCAAACTGCATGCACTTGCAAACATGCGCACACATCCATGCATGCCTAGCAGAGACCCTAAGAGCAGCTGGCTGGCAGGAGGCGGGGCATCCCAACACTGGAAACTCTGCCAAGAGGTGAGATCTTTTTCTTTTGTGAGCTTCTGTTTCATCATTTGCAGGGAAACAACAGCTCACGAAAAAAATGCCCTGGAAAGCTGAGCTGGGGCAACAGCATACGTGTCCACAGAGATGGCTCTGCATACCACCTGTGGCATGCGTGGCATCACAGATATAGACTATGGTTCTGCCTTTGGTCAAGGCTGCCCAACTGGGGCATGAGTCCAATGTATATTATTTTACTGTTTTTATGCTAATAAATTTATATTGCATCTTTAGTGTGATTTGGTTACTTTAAGTGAGCCTGGTTTTGGCAACAGCACCTATACATACATATTTATTAGGGTTAACATAGCAATAGCCCTTAGACTTATATACCACTTCATAGTGCTTTACAGCCCTCTCTAAGCGGCTTACAGAGTCGGCATATGGCCCCCAACAATCTGGGCCCTCATGAATTTGAACTTTAATGAAACAACGTTCAGCACAGTTATATTTAAGACATGATCTGCTCAGCTTAACTAATTTAGTTAAAATGGCTTATCTTACACCTGTATGGTTGGTAGTCATCTTTTCGTTTTGAACGTGTGTCATGTATGCATTTTCCTTGTATTTTAAAATCAGAGGTTCTGTTGTGCACTCACTTTGAACAAATAGCTTACTTTGAGTCTTAAGGAGCAGCATCTTCTAATGTAGACTTCAGCAACCAAAAAGGAAAAATTCGTTTTGGGAAAAACAGGTTGCTTTTCCAGGTATGATATGCAGGCTTATTACTATAGCCGCATATAACCATTGTTTTATTCCTTTTACATAAGCAGTATTATGCAAATCATAGAAAAGATGTAAGAAGTAATAATTTAAAAAGCTAAAGGAACATGAGTCAGATCTAGTTCACGTCAATTCCAGGTATCATGGTTTTTTTGAAAATGTGTTCTGCAGAATTCTGGGATCCTGCAAGATCTTAATGAGGTTCTGTGGGACATTAAGAGCCAAATAAATTTCAGTTGAATACAGCCAATTTGTATCACAAAATGTTGCTCTTTGATCAGGAATCCCGGGATTTTTAAAATTAAATTACAGATTTATAGCCTGAAAAAGTTTGAAGCTCTGCCTTATACCATCCCAGGCTCTTCTGTTCTTGGAAACAATTCTTGCTTCTACAATATTAATTTTTCAATTTCATATATTGCCTTTGAACTTCTCACCTCCTTTATATGATCTTAACTCCATCCAAACAAAATTGTCTTATTTCCCTTTCCTCTTGACCTCTGCAGTTTTATTAATTTGTTTTGTAATTTAATCCTTATTCAATCCCCTTATGATGAAAGCATCTCAACATACCAACACATCTTTCATATTCAGTCCACATTCTCTCTCCTTGTTTTGCAACATATCCCTCTAACCTATTCCTTTCCCATTCTATTCAATGTATTTGATGTTAATATGACATATCCAGGTTTTGCTTCCATATAAAAAGGAATGAAAGAACGTCCGAATGCTATTGTGTTTATTTCTTTAAACCAGTGATTCTCAACCTTTTCTTCACCACGGACTCCTCTTTAAATGCCTTTTGTGGGCATGAGCCCCCAAGACTTAACTCAAGGTTTAAATCATAACATTTCAACCAGCCTTTGTGGACCATCTGACATCGCAACCCCTCAGGGGTTTTTGGACCACAGGTTGAGAACCACTGCTTTAGACAAACATTTCACATGACAGATCACATATTGCTCACTATTTTTCTTCCAGCATTTATATTTTTAAAATATCTTAGTTTCCTCAGTAGTTAGTAAACATTCTATGAAGAAACACAATTTCCTATACTTATGCATAATTTGAAATAGTTCATTCCATTTTCCCAGTCAAAACAACCTTAGTCCAGGATATATTACATTTCAAAACTATATTCCTGTTTGTGTAATACAATTTTAGATTCACTGCAAATAATGTTTACTGTAATAACAGGACATGTTCAGTTTTTAATATTTGCATTGCTGGCTTGAAGCAATTTTAATATGAATTGGGAAGAGGAGAAATAACAATAGCGCAATCCAATGGTCAGAGTAGAGAAGTGGTTTGGTAATGGGCACAATTATGTCCTCATTCAGATATAACTTTGAGCCATTTTGCAAACTAATCTACCTCATAGGTTGTTCTGAGATTGAAAGGGATAAGGAAATAATACACATTCTGCTGGATAAAATAAAAATTTAAAACACCTAATAAAATAATTAAATTATTCATTTAAGATTTAGAAAGTATTGGATCTGCTTTTCAGGTTGGCAAAAAAATAAATCTTAAGATATTATATATATAAAGCCATTGACAAAGGAAATATTACAGGTGCAAGAGATACCAAGGTTCTATCTGCCATATGCCATGGTCTAGTGATTCAGAGGCATCTTCGTTTAGTCTGAACAAATTGTACAGAAACGTCCTGCAATAAAATTGCACTTAACTGATTTGATCTTATGCTGATTTAATATAATAATAATATAATACAGTTAAAAATAAGAATCAAGAAAACATCAATATGCAATGAGATTTTTTAATCATTTGAATACAATGACACTGCTTAATAAACTATAGTTTTAAAGATGACAAATCAAACAGAAATGTAAAATAGGTTTTGTGTTACAAACATTTTATACATGCAGAATATGATGATCTAAATAAACTACTTATGTGTATTTTAGCACCACTTTGACACAATCATATTAATAAAACTACTTTAAAGAACTTGGTAGCTAACAGGAAAAAATGAGGGCCTCACATTTATGAATATGACAAGTGTTTCTGCTGCTAACATATGCAGTTCCTGGTGTGTGGCTATGCAGGCAGACACTCCAAAAATCATAACTAGCCCTTTTCCCCTCTAGTGAGTATATTGTAAAAATATAATTGTATATTGAGAGCCCTTCCCTTCCCACAGACAATACAATTTTGCATTTAAGAAATGTCAACATTTGGAAGAAGGAGCCAAAGTTGTGACTTCACGACGTGCAATCTCAATGCTCTGAGATCGCAGTCGATACTTTTGCCTCTGGGTGGTCCAAATGGACCTAAACCATCCCGTAGAGATGGTGAACAAGAAGAATACATCTTGCTGATCACAGGGACATCACAAAGTCTCTGATTGATCCAAGAGAAGCTCTTCAAGCTGGTGGCAAAAAATCCAGCCAAATGGCTGATGAAGTCGGGGCGGCTCCAAAATGGAAGGGTATGGAAAGAGAAAGTGTTTCAGCTGGTGAGGAATTTTTACTGTTTTAAAAGGTATTGCCTATTAAAAAAAAACTTAAAATTAATTTAAATTGGAGAACAGAAGAAATAAGCAGCGGAATTAAATTTGGACTGATTTTGAACAGTGGGTTATCCCACCTTTTAAATGCTATCTTTATGGATGGAATTTATGCAAGCCTTTTAAAATGAACGGATTAAG